GTCAAAACCAGTGGTGGGCCAAGCAACCTGCACAAGATCCTGGCCTGCCCACGTCTGAGCCTGAGAAGACGGTCTCCTGAGCAGCTCTGTGAGCACTTTAGAGAAATGCCGAACCCACCATCCCCCAAGGCTCATCACATACTGATTGTATCTAGAAAATTAAAACTATAGAGTGGTGGCCTTTTAAAACGAAACCCACAGAAATGAAATGAGCCAGAATACAAATTGCTGAATGGAGACATTTACCTACTCCATTGTCCATGAATTTATCTGTTTTGGCCAAGGAAGGGAGCGGGTAATAGTGGCTTAGACAGAATTGGCTTTCTCTTACACACAGACCCTTCAAATCCTGCATTCACCTTCTATTTCTACAGGTGTACAGTGAGAAGCTTCTCATTACAAATGTGCACTACAATTGTGTTTCACTTACTTTAGGAATGAAAACACGAGGTTACAATGGAGACCAGATTCTATGGTGTCCACAATAAGGAAAGTGTCCACTGAGAACTATCTCTACACTACACACTGTATGCTTATACAATACAAAAGCAAGAACAACTCTTTCAATGATCTCAAACCCTGCCCTTCCTGTGGAGGAATACCACAGCTCTGGTCAAGTACAATACACAACCCCATTTCCTCACCAAGTCTCTTTACAGGGGCTTCAAAAACATCCTGGAAAGATAAGAATTGAAAAGCAATTGACTTCTTTCAATAAACTATTTGAAGCCCCTCATATATTCATTCCAACAGGAACTCGTTGTAACTTCACATAAATACACGGAATTCAAAAATGAAAAATGATGCGGAAAGCAGGAGAAGGAAGGGAATGCCAGGAAAGTTCTGCGTCTTCATCTGTGAGAGAGTTGCACAAGTATAAACGGGTGTGAAAAGGCACTGAGCAGTAAGCAGTACGCTTAAGAGTTGTCCATTTTACTGAGCTCAATTTACACCTTCATTTTTTTTTTTAAAAAGGGGGGGTTGGGAGGGTAAAAAACAAGAAAAAAGGAAGCCCAAACCCAAACCCAGGAATGAGGTTGGCATTGAAATGACATAACATTTGAATCATTCACACAAAAAGCCTTTGGTGAACACCTTATTTCCAACACCATACAAGAGAAAGGATGAAACTTTTGTTAACATGTAGTCTTTTTTTTTCTTTTCTTTTTTAAATCATTAGGGGCTCGTACAACTCCTATGACAATCCATACATACATCAATTGTGTAAAGCACATTTGTACATTCATTGCCCTCATCATTCTCAAAACATTTGCTCTCCACGTAAGTCCTTGTTATCAGCTCCTCATTCCCCACCCCCTTCCTCCCCGCCCCCCATACCACGTAGTCTTGGCATCACAGAATAAATAATCCAAAGGCGGGGACAGGCAAGTGTGGGGGGCGTGCGGGGAAAGTGTGTGTGCAGGGGTCTGGGCAGAGGGTGGGGAAGCCAACTCAGCTCAGCAGAGCCAGCATTCTTAGATTACTGGCCTCTCCTGTCAGAGACCACCGGTGCTGCAAGCTAGCAAACCAATGTTATTGAAGCGGGAAGCCACACTGCCTGCCGTTGAGCCCTCTTCAGGTCCAAGTATGTGAAAACTAGACAAAGCTTTATTTGGTCTTTATAAGAAAGTACACTAGAAGCTATTTCTTTCACATTGTCTTTAAAGTTATACTCCATCACCAAAATTAAGCCACAGCCAAGGTCCGAATGAGCCAGGCCACCAGGCTACAGCACAGTGTAGTGGAACTCACAAGAGAATAATCTGGACACAGACACTAACAAGATGGCCCAAAGTGTATTGAGTCACCCTTACTTAAAGAAAATTCTGCATGTGGCCATACTTCACAGGAAATAGAATTTCACTTAATGTTTAAAATGGCCTCTTCTCTCCAAGTTATAAATATTTAGAAAAATTGTTTGTTCAAAGGAAGATGCTTTCTTTAATTGTGCAGGGAAAGCTGTTGTAAAGAACAAGTGGTTTTGAAAAAAAAAAAAAAAAAACCTGAAGGAAACTTTCATGAAAATCAGCCCCTAAACCAAGTGCAGCCTGTGAAGCAGCCTGTGCTTAGTGCAGTCAGGGGCAACGTTGGGGCGTACCTTTCATCCTTGATGTTCACCCTCAGCCCCATCCAACTCACTGCCATCAAGTCGGTTCCGACTCATAGCTACCCTCCAGCACAGAGCAGAACGGCCCCTGTGGGTTTCCAAGGCTGTAAATCTTCATGAAGGCAGAGAGCCTCACCTTTTGCCCTTAGAGTGGCTGGTGAGATTGAACTGCGGACCTTGTAATTAGCAGCCCAATGTGTAACCCCGCTATACCATTAGGGCTCCCTTTTAACCCCCTAACACACACATATAAAACCTACTTCTCCTCTGTGGGGAGCAGAGGAATTACCGGTCTATAGGATACCCCCCACTCCATCCCTGACAAAGTGGCCCAAGAAGTGGGTGGCAAATCCAAGTTCATTAACATAAGGAGAGATAGACCACCTGAATGCTGACACTGGTGACGAGGGACCAAGGGAGACAAGCAGGCAAGAGGGGAGCTCTCTCTTGGCCACAGTGGCACGCAGGGCACGCCACTCACCTGTCAGCTTTCATCAGGAGGTTGGGTGGCAGCTCGAGGAGCTGGTTGTGCTGCACGTCCAAGACCTCCACGCAGGTCCTCTCGAGGCGGTCGGGGAGCCTCGAGAGCTGGTTGTGGCCTGCTAGCAGTTTCCGGAGGCTGCTGTTGCAAAACAGCCTGGACAGAAAGGGAGAGAAGACAGATGGCAACTCAGCAGAGATCACTTGGAGTAGCAATTCCACAGATGATTAGCTGCAGCAGAGTTCCTAGAGCTCCCTCTCCCCCAAATCAGAATGCATTCCAAGTCACTTTGAGTTCATGTCAAACTTGGAGCTGTATATAGCTCAACACTTTGTGTCCTTTAGAAAAAGTAGGGGTGAAAGGGTGACGGAGCAGGGAAGCTTCTTCATGAAAGCCTTCAGAGAAGAGAGTCTGAAGTGGAGGGCTGCGTTCAGGAGGTAGGCTTAAAAGGCAGGTGCTTCTACAATGTAGGGTGATGTCCTATATTAACCCCAGGGTGACTGCAGGCTAGCTCTGGAGGCCTGAATTTAGGTCACTGGCTCTGAGGGTAAGGACTGGAGAGACCCCAGGCCTGCCTCATTAATATAACAAAGAACCCATTCCCACAAGGGATTTTAATCTTTAGACAGAGAGGTTCCAAACTCACAGCAACCCTGTAGCATAGGGTACAACTGCCCGGTGGGCTTCTGAGACTGCAACTTTCACCCAAGGAGTGCCCTGCTAACATTGTGGTTGGTTGCCCAACTCCTAACCATTACAGCACCAGAGATCCTCAGACAGAGAGATTGGACTTATATATTTGGGGGAACATAAGTCAACCCTTAACAGCAGGTTTATGTCCACAGATCATTATGGCCAGACAGAGAGATAACCCAGCACAGCCATTCTGTCAGAAGGGGTGGGAGCAGGGCACACGCACACACAATCTCTGCAGTGGCTACTTCAACCCCATCATTCAGGATTCATGTAACCACTTTTACGATCTTGTTGGGCCTAAGGGACAATATAAGAGTTACAGAAGGTGGCAAGAGGTGATTATTTTCATGTGTTTTCTTTATTCTTTAATATACGCACGTTTTCTTTGTTCTTTAATATAAGAATAAATGGAAGACAGGCGACAAAATTCTTATCTTGACTTTTCCAATTAAAAGGTAGGTTTGATAAGCTCTAGGGAGAGTATTAAATGCTTATTACTGGCTTTAGTTCAATTTTTTTGAATACTATCTAAGCATTCAAATATCTTTCCCTTTTAATACATACTTCCACGCCTATATATCAATTTCTGTTTTGTCAAAGCCTTGCCGCCTTGCCTGACAAACAAAGCTTGATGACTAAATTAGTCTCTAATGAATCACAGTCTTGCTGGAACAGCACATCCACTACATGGCAGAGACAAACATTTTGCAACCCAATTTACACCATAAAAGAGAAAACAATATATATTGTTTTTGTCCAATTTTTAAAAACCACAACACAACAGCACAGAACAAAACAAACAAAACACTGTTTAGATTCTTTGACAATAGAGCATTTGAGGTTTTCTTTGAATAAGGATTTGTTTGGATGCCCGCGAAAAGCCTGCAGAAAGAGCAGGGCAAATCTAAAACTCACTCACTTTGGGAAAAATTGGTCAAAATGTCACTGACCCTGAGGATGGATTTTCCCCCCTTCCGTTGTTTGGTTTATACCTTTCCTGTACCTTCTGGGGCAACAGGGACCTTTAATCCCACAGTGTATCTATTGGTTTGTGCTGCAGGGACCCTCGAAAGATCTGGCTCTGGCCCAGACTCTCTGACCTTTAGTGAGTCATGTGTGCATACCGGGAAAAGAAAGAACCAGGGAAGCATGGTGACGCCTGTCTTCAGTGTTCCAATTTTCATTAGGAGCCTGTTTTCCATGCGACCACTATTCTAAGAGATGCCACAGGGGTGGACAGACAGATAGAAAGGGACAGGGTACATCTCCAAGTGTTTCCTTTCTATTGATATTGTGATATGTGTTCTGGGTCACCTGCATGCTCAAATTGTCCTTACAATGCCCCAAGGCAGAGAGCATTCCAAGTACGTGACTAAAAGTATAGGCAGCATATGTGGCTGAGATTATGCAAAATAGATGGGGTCTTCCAGAGAGTGGAAGCTAAGTCAGATTTCTTTTATAACAGCTATATTCTAAGACACTGCTATCCAATAGAAAGGACAGATTACCCAGTCAGCCAGATAAGTATGTGCTTGCCTACTACCATCAAAAACAAATAAAAACCTCAAACTCACTGCCATCGAGTTAATGCTGACTCATAACCAACCCACCTGTGGGTTTCCGAGACTGTAACTGTTCACAGGAGTAGAAAGCCCAGTCTTTCTCCCAAGGAGCTGCTAGTGGTTTCAAAGTGCTGACCCTGCAGATTGCAGCCCAATGTGTAACCACTATACGGCCAGGCTCCTACCTGGTACCGTATTTTCTATCCAAATAAAGTACACATCATTATTTTTTAGGTTTTTTTGATTGGGTAGCAAGATGACTGCATAATTCCCTTATGCAATAGTTTCCCAAGCACACTATATGTGCTATATGCACACACATTTTTTATGTGAGTGCATAATGTGAGAAAGATGATAATCTGTAGTGAGTAATTTCACATTATTTTCACTCCATGAAACATTCTGCTTCTATGTCTGGCTGGCATTTGTCTCTTCCCCAAGCCCACAGTACCTGCTTACAGAATATATACTCCCTGGCAGGGACAGAGTACCTAGGGAGCAAGGTAAGCACAGGCTGACTTGTGCTTACTTACTAATCCATAGTGAATGGCTTCCCATAGGTTTTTTCACATCTTTAATGAGTTCACTAAGGGTTATTTATACCATTACTCAATTAAGATTAGTCCTATTTTCAGTGGCTCTGAGGATTGAGGTTAACATCTTGGGCAGTGCAACTCTAAAACATTTGCCAAGCTTACCAAACAAGCATATTTCATGATTCTTGGTCTTATAAAGAAAACTGGAAAAAATAGTCATCATACACCTCTTAAGGACTGTATCTCTAAGGTAAAGATTTACTCTGAAATGGTGACACAGTTTTGCAACAGACTGGACCTGATACTTTTGACTGCGTGCAGTCAGGTAAGCTGTGGAGTCTCTAGTCAGTGACGGGCTGAGAACAGTGGAACTAGCTAGACCTGACCTGTCCAAAACGGCAGCAACCAGCCACAAGGGGCTAGTTAAACTAACAACGTGAGAAACCCAGTTTCCCATTCACACAGTCATAGTTCAAGCACTCAGTAGGTATTCGTGGCTAGGGGGGGGGCCATATCCGACATGGTGACAGGCTTCTCACAAACTGTCCAAACGATCTTTTGTGTCATCCTTCCTCAACTCCAAAACAGGACGCCTGCATCTGTGGACATCGGAGAGCTCAGCCCAGCTGCTTAACAAATCTTACTGTTGAAGCACAAGCTATGAAACACAGAGGGGACACAGAGAGCCTGGAAGGAAATCCAAGTCCTGGGCTCTCCTACTCCAGTTTCTCATCAAGAAAAACAAAAGGGAGTCCGGTTTTCCTAGCAACCCAGTATTCGTAAGTTCTCTTTTCTAAAGTTACATGGGAAGGCAAACAAATAGATGCAGTAAGGTAGAGAGCTGCTACCTGGACGGATGCCAGTGGAAGACTGAAAGGAGTAAGGGCTCAGGGGTGAACCAATCACAGTCTGCCAAGTCTGTGAAGGTTTCTTTGGGCTCCTTTTAAAATGGCCACCAGGCAATGGCCCTGCATGGCTTTAAAAGGCTTGGCTGGGAGTCAAAGTCTCACTCTGTTTCACTGCATGAAGAGTCTGTGACTTGAAGACGCCACAGGAGGTTAAAAGACACCAAGTCAGATTTGAAGGCAAACTCTCTGAGGAGTTCACAATAATGAGTTAGACACGGACTCAGACATTTGTACAAATTGCTTGACGAACTGGAGACGCACTCACTCACGTGCTCCACAATACCCACCTGGTGGGAAGTTCACATATTTGATTATGGCCAATGTCCAAAACCTCCAGCTTCCGGCTTTCGCACACCCACTCAGGCACATTTTCTAGGCGGTTCCTGGACACAAGAATATAAAAGTCTTTTTTTTTTTAAATTGAAATCTGGTCTAAAATACAGTTCTAATGATATTTAGAAAGACTACATACAACTTTAAATGAAGTGCCCAAACTATAGTCAGCATAAACCCCAAAGCTGTGTGTGTCCATTTTAGCTAGAAGCAAGGAAAAGTGTGGGAAGGGTAGGGGGTGGGGGTGGGGGGGAAGCGGGATTTAAAAAAAATAGGGAAGGACACCAGTTACATCATCTGCATTATTTCAAAAGCGTAGAAAGTCAGGTTCCCCAAACTACTGATCTTTGTGAATTTTTTATGGCAAAAGGTAAAGTCTCTGCATGAGAAAGTACAAGAGCGGCAATCATAAAATGAGGTGACTGCTCTCCAAAAGGCAGAGCAGAATCTGCTGACAGAGGTTAGCAGCTGTCACCTGGAGGGGTCACAGACTCCCCTGAGATCAGGCTGTTCAAAATAGTTGAGCATTTCCTTTGGAATTGCCTTTCAAGTAAGTTTCAGTTTTAACATTAACATTACTAAAGTTTCATTTTTGGAAATGAATGCTATGGAGAGATTCACCCAGTTGTGCATGGCTTCAGGAAAAAAGCCTGCTAAAACATCTGTAGAAAGAGGCACAAATGGGACAGGCTGCCTTGCGGCAGTGAGCTCGAACAAGGGCAGATGCATCGCCGCATGCTCACAGGCAAGCTCAGAGCTTACCTACCCAGCATTCCCTCAGCCAACAGAGTGCTAGCTGCCCAGAGCATTCCAGGCCAACTTGGGGAGACTCGCTTGCTATTCTACTTTGTAAGGAAGGACTCCGCTACTAAAAATCTCCCACCATGAAAAGTATGGCTTTTAAAGCAGACTTTTGTCATTTTACGGAAAAACACGAGAACGTGGTTAATGAGAGGGCTTTAAAAAGCTTGTGGAAAAATCTACTATCTTTGCATTCAATTTATTCCACTAATTTTTTGAAGCCCCCTTGGGCAATCCAAGAGCCACTGCACCTTCTAGCCATGTGTTCTTCTATGTAAAATCATTCCAACCCAAGCCCGGATTCCAAGTCAGTGTAGTTGTTCTGGCTTCATCCACAGTGTATTTGTGATGAAAGTGCTGTCAAGACTTGACTCCTTACCTTGAAATATCCATGCAGGACAGGTAATTTGGAATCGGGTAAACATCAAGTTGAACAAGTTCTAAGAGGGAAAACACACACACACATAAGACAAAACATTACTATTCAAGTGACACAGAGACTCTGTTTGTCTGTAGACTATCATGGCTCTGTTTTAGTCCCCATTGTTTGGTTAGTTTAGGAAGCACAATGAACCCATTTGTTCAACTCTGGAGCTACAGGAGAGGAGAACTTCTAATTTAATCACAAGGTCTTAGAGATTGAAATAAATCACTCGTTTTACTTTCTTGCCTCCTTCTCATCCATTGACTGAGGCTCCTCTCACTAAAATTTTATCTGGCAGATGAACTCACTGTACACTGGCTTGTGCAGTCAGGGTTCCTTCCTCAAACCCAGTGCATCCTGGCTCTGAGGCCACCTTCTCTCTCCTGAACAGCAATCCTGAAGACCGCAGATGGCCTCTGCGTCTCCAATCTGATAACCCTTTCTCAAACCTTTCCAGATGAAATGTGATACCACAGCCCACCAGACTGTTTCTAGGACAGGGAGTTTCTAGAAGCCCACCCGCCTCTCTAAATCCGTAACAAAGATTTCACTCAGTTCCTCTTTCTCCTCCTAGCTACGTCTAGTTGCCTATCCTGATCCCAGCCAACTCTGAGGGTCCCTCTTCCCTCCACTCAGTCAGTACCTACTGTTCTGACTCGTCCTGCTGATTCTTTTTCCATTCCCACACTCCACTTCACCACCAAGTTCTCAACAGCTCACACATCACACCTTCACAAGAACTTGGACTCAGAGGATGGAGAATTATTCCACTCTCCTGCCACTAATATATTCTTCAACGGCTTCCACGTAGGTAGGCTTCAAGTGTCGCTTCCAGTATAAGTACTGTCTCCTTTGCTTCAGAAGTTCCACTGGCTCCTCCTTTGTTGTAGTAAGTTCAATGCTTCAAGATCTGACATCAACCAGGGGCCCCTAATTACTTGCTGCCACTCCTCAGCAAAGGAGACAGCTAGAATCCCCCTCTAGAAGTAAGGGCGGTAAGACTTCATCTCGAACACTTTGGGAATGTCATTAGGAGGGCCTAGTCCTCGGAGAAGGCCAGCGTGCTTAAGAAAAAGACCTTTCTCCTTTGTCTTTCACATAGTTAGAACACATGTGCACACACTTTCAGAGAGAGATGTGAGAGTAGTAAATGCGTGTCTTCGTACTGATCTCTAACTGAAGCAACTGAAATCTTCAACTGACAGAGTGCCTGCTATACCAGGGATTTCCAGAAGACAGCTCAGGGGAAGTTCCTCAGGTTGATGTAGCATGAAGCTTGAGACCCTGAGGAGAATTCAAAGTGGACCTGCCTGTCACTCCACAAATCAAAACTATAATTGAGGTTTCAGATTTATTATCCTGACAAGGTTGCTCAAAAAAGTTCCTTTTCCCCCTCTCTTTTAAGCACAAAAGCCAAATAAAGAAGAGGGAGTCGCTTCTCTAACAACAAGCCAGGATCAAGAGCAGGGCCACGACCTCCTTTATTCTTCTGCCACCCTTATGGACCAAGCCTGCATTCTCCTTGCAACTTTTATCTCAGCAAAACACGACACGTATTTGACTAACAGGCAAACCAGAGAAAGGCAGTGCTGACAGCGCTGGATAAATTCTTGGAACCCAGAGAGAAACTCGGATATGGTCCATGTTACGTACCATTAGAAGAGGCATAGAGTGCTTTTAGGAAATAGCCACAGATGTTCAAGGTCACCAGCTGATTCCTTTCACAGTGCAAGACTTCGATGTTGTTGAAAACTGTAGCGTCTAGGTCACCAAGTTTATTGTCACGCAGGTCAAGCTGAGTGACATGTTGGAGAAATTCCACTTCATCTGCTATTAGCTTCTTAATTACGTTCAGTCTTGAGGGGGATAGAGAGACAGAGCGAGACTATCATTAAATCCGATGCTACTAATAACCAGCCATACCCTAAAATGGAAGAGTAACAATAAAAAAAATTTATAGTTCGTCTCCATAATTTCTTTCATCTCAGCACCTGGCCAGATTCTCTGGCAGCTTATTTTTGCTTCAGCACCACAAGGTTATATGTGAAATGAGACTTAGACCTGGACGCCTGGAAAAAGAGCAAGCACGCTGACTTCATTCATTTAGATCATTTCAAGAGGGGGAAAAAACAACCTAAGCATTTATTTCTAAAGAAATTGGCGAGAAACTATTGACACCGGCCTGGGAAGAACACGAGAATCAAAAGCCAGAGCGAGCCCGGCGCAGAGTGCGACCACGGGGAGGGCCGAAGGAGCAGGTGGACAGCAGTCGCCCGGAGGCCAGGACTAAAGGCTGACCCTGAAAAGAAATGTGTGAGGAGGGCCCACACATGCAACACAGGAGGGGTTGCAGGAACAAGGTTCACCTTGGTGGTGACCACTGCTAGAGCCTTCTTTAAACAGTGCTTAGAAACGTGCAACCAACGCTCAAGTTTGGCATCTGGGATTCCCTGAGAAATCAGAAAATGAAGGGCAACAGTGAGGAATGGCCACTGTAAGGGGGAGCAAGGCAAAGGGCAACACTGCAAGGGTGCCTGGTCACCACATAGCGAAACCTGTGAGAGCTGGAACTCGCCAGCCCGCCCTCGTTTCCCCACATCCTGCCTAGAATAGGCTACAGTCTTACTGCTTCTCTACCACTCATTGCAGTGGAGACTATTTGAGGGTCCCCTTCTCCACCAGTGCCCCAGTGCCTGCTTCCACAGGCTTTACTAGGATTCATTCCACCACCACCAGTACCTGGGGGGCTACGATCCTTGCAGAAGAGCATTCCTATGAAAGCTAAGAGTTTTAGAAAATGAAAGTTCTCTGTAGTGAGTTTCTGCCCTTTAAAAAATAAAGTAAAAATTATGGGGTTTGAGTTATTAATAGCACTATCATAAAGTCAGTGAAGCACAAAGTTGAGTGACAGCTAAGAGCTAGAACTAGCGCATATGGCCTCTTCAAAAAAATGTCCCCAAGAGGGTGGGTTGTTGTTTTTTTTTTAATTATCATACCAGGTTGTTAAGTTTAAAAACCTGGCCCCAACCCACAATTTGTCTATTTCCAAATGCTCACTAGATTATTTAAAATTCAGGGAATTTTTTTAAAGCCTATTTTGGATATAACAGAATATAGAATTTTTAAAAACCACCCCGTGTCCTCCCCGTTCTATGTTTGGATAACCTTAATATTGATTATCTTTATTTAAAAGCATCCTACTAATTTCATAATTAACACTCATGAATTTAATAAAACAAAAGATTAAAACGTAAGGAAAGTTAACATTCCCACTGGTTAGCTTCAATTGCCAAGTCTCAACATGATTCAAATATTGTCCCAAGGTTTTAAGTTCCCTCAAATGTACATCTATTTAGGAAACATTTTAAAAACAAACAGTTTTATTGGGACATAATCCAAATATCATACAATTCAGTGATTCCATCATGCCGAGAAGAATTGTAAAATTATCACAACAATCAATTTTAGAACATCTTCTTCTTTCTTGTACTCCTTGTTTATTAGCTCCCTATTAAAATTTTCTACCAACCAATAAAACTTCAGCTAACGTAGTTGTGTGATTTACTTCAGAAATAGTCATTGAGTATTTACTATGTGCAGGGAGGCAGTGGGACGGACCATTTATGTTCTAGTCTCAGTTTGCTGCTCTACACTTTGCAAATACGACTGTGGGGAAGTCACCTAGTATCTCTGCAAATCGAATTCCAGTATGTAAAACGGGGGCAACATCTTCCTTATCCTATAGGGCAGAGGGGAGGACCAAGTGACTGGTACAAGTACTTTCTTCCAAGTCTGTCTCCAAGAAAGTACAGCTAGAACGTTCCTTAGAAATGAGCATGCTGACGCTGTCTTGTGGGTTTGGGACATGCACCCAGGAGATCCGTTCCTGGAGAAAGGCAACATGCACAGTAAGTACAGGACCAGCAAAAGAGAGGCAGACCTTCGACGAGACAGACTGCCACGGTGGCTGCAACAAGGGGCTCCAACAGAACACTGCTGTGAGGCTGGGGCAGGACCGGGCAGGGCTTTGCCCTGTTGCACAGAAGGTTGCCGGGAATCTGAACAGCAGTAACAGGAACAGCTGGCATTTCGGAAACTGTGAAGGGCTACAGGCTGGAGACCGTGATGACCGCCTAGGTCTCGGTGGGAATTACGGTGTTTGTCAACAGGTTTCGTAGTTTCCTGAGGGGATTCAGATGTGTGATAAAAAGCAAAATGGCAGTGTGCGATGAGTGTCATAAACGAGGGAAAGAGAATGATGGGACAAGATGCTGGGGAAGAGGAAACCCTCACAGACCTCCGAGGATGATGGAATTTGGCAGATGTGAAGGGAGGCAGCAGCAAGGGGTCCTAGGACCAGACATGCCTGGGGACTGGGGTTCCTCAGAGTGTTCTTTGAAAGCAGTGAGGATCTGGCTGTAGAGATGGGTAGGCTTATTCAGTCAAATATTGACCAAGTACTATAACTACTAAGTGCCAACACCACAGACCCAAAAGTACTTGAGAACAGTGCTTCTGGAGTTCTCTACGGCAAAGGACTAGTTTCTACATTTCTAACCCATCACAGACTAATGCCTCGACCTGTTACACTGGGTACCCAGCTCTGACCACCTGGGTCACACCATGCGGGTTCAACACCACTGACCCAGCTTAGTCCTTGCTCAAGGAGCTGCAGCTGCCCACAGAGCACTCAGGTACTGCCAAACTGTTATGCATCTCTGAAAGTCATCTCAAATTCTGTGTCTATCTGCGTGTGGAGCAGAAAACAAACTGCTGGCTTGGCAGCCCAGGCTGGTGGACTGACTATACACACTATATTACGTGGGAGACAGAGCCTCGGCCTCCAGCAATGCACATGGGAGACTGGAGCTTGAGTGCTTTGATGCACAGAACGGATGGCTGAGGGCAGGACTGCCCTCAACTGTGAGCGCTGCACAACCACTCCGGTGGGAAAGGTCAGCAAGGAGAGGGATGCATGAGAGGCACCAACAAGACTCTGGTGCTGGACTAGACATGACGATAGGACTAGACAAGGCCTATGACGGACTCCGCTGCCAGAAGTTCTGTATTTGCTTAGCCAAGCCCAGGAAGGCAAAAGTAGGGAAGACCTGGCCTCATAGACTCCGTTTCCCCTGCATTTGGATCCCGGCACCAAATGAGCAGCTGAAGTGGAGTAAGTCTGTCCCCAGGAAAGAGGAAGCTAGGGGGATAATGAAAACAGAGATGAATGAGAAAGGGCAGAGGGGTGAGAACCTGTGTAACCACTGAGGCAGAAAGCAGAGAAGGATTCAGGAGCAACCGAATAAAGCCGTTTCCGAGTCAAGGTACTTAAACAGAAAATTAAACCGCTTTTAAAATACAACCTTTCCATCTGAAGGAATAAGAAACTCACATCAGTAAAATCAGTCCTTTGTCTACAAAAACAAAGTGAAACATCTCTGAGGCTGTTCTACCTGCTGTAATTTAATAACACTACATCAAATTTTAGGCACAACTGACCGGAATTCCCTCCCTTCAGCTGAGGGGCCTGGAAAGCAGTAGCCACCTATTCAGTTGGTCAACAATTCCAGAGAGCCTGGGGCCTGCCCCTACTGAAATCCCTAGTAGCTTTCGTCAACTCAAAATATCTTTTTTTTTTTTAAATCTTTCTTAATTATGATTTGGGTGAAAGTTTCCAGGGCAAATTGGTTTTCCATCCAACAATTCATACACATTGGCTTTGTGACATTGAGTGTAACTCTCATAGCAGATGGGCGGGTTCCCACTTCCTCCAGGTTTACCGTCCTAGGCCTTCCTGCCTGCCTATGAGCTTTCCCGGGGGTCAGTCCTACCCTGGGGGTTCGTGTGGTGCAGAGCAGGCCTTGCTGATGCTACTACCCACCTTGTAGGTCTGTCTGTCAGTTGGATCAAAGCTGAGTCCCAGCGTGAATTCAATGCCAGGCTTGAAGGAGGACTAAGGACTATAGTCTTGGGGTTCCACCAATCTCTATCGAGCCAGTACGTCTGCTATTCTTTTCTGAATGTTATCTTCTTTATGTGCCAGTAACCCCAAATCAGTTATCTTCTTTATGTGCCAGTAACCCCAAATCATCTTATGACTATTACCTAAAGTCAATGCAACCCAGTCTTCAGCTCCATCAAAGTTGCAACACTGACTGGGTGGCGGGAGGGGGAGGGGGGAAGACAGGACGGACCAGACCCTGAATTCTAAAACAAGAGTAGTATTCTAAATCTAAGTGTCTCGCAGGCAAATAATGTTAACAAATGGGAAAGAAACTTAAGAGCACATTCTTCAGTTGTCAAAATTTCCAAGTCAGATAAATAATGACTGTTTTGTATCCTGTATATTAATAATTCAAGGTCTTCGCATCTTGAGCACGTCCCTGGTGGGTAAGGCCTGATTCCCTTAGCCTGAGGTAAGGTAAAGCCACGCCATTCTCTGTGAGGTGGAGATGTGATTTCTAGGTCACAGCACATGAGTGGGAAGAAAATGGACCAGAGGATGATGCTACTCTATATTGATGCCAGGAGGCAAGTCTGAGTAGGGGGCTGGGCTGTCACCACAGAGGAGAGCAGCCAGTGGTGCGAAATACCAACAGGGGCAAAGATGGCAAGAAAAGCAGCTGAGCAGGTTCCCTGAGCAGAGAGAGGCCCTCGTCAAATACTAATGACACTACACAACCCTTATTGGGAGAGTCAGACATTTAACTCAAGCCTCTGCACAATCCTGTAAATTAGGGTCTGTGATTTATAGATGCATAAAACAGAGGCCCACGAAACGAGTCAACTTGCCTAAGAGCCGACACATTTAGTATGTGGTAGTGTCAAACTGGACACACTCGTGCTAAGACCCAAGCCCTAAGTCCTCTAACGTGCTCTGTAGAAGTTCCACTGGTTTCCCCTCACAGAACAGAGCAACACGCCCTCCTTATGTGCGGCTCTGCTCACTAGAAACTTGGATGGCATCTCACCTTCTAGTGGCCGAGCATCTTTCATGTACCAAGACCAGGCTAGCGCTCTCCTGTGGAGAGTGGACTGATCAAATCCAAAGCACAGAGTGTTGGAAAAGATGAGATGGAAGGCTGCATCCTAACTTGGTCTGACAGTATACAGTGGGTTTTATATTTTTCTAAAGAATAATTAAACAAGGACCGAGCCATTTAGAGGGGAAAACAGAATAAATAAGCTAGTGAAGTCAATTAAATCAATTTAATAAGTAAACTAGTATAGCTGCAAGGGTTCTAGTTCATACATGTAAGGGGCTTATTTCAAACAAAATATGGTGAAGCTCAGCTCTGCAATCAGGAGATGGGTGAAGGCAAGTTTTCTCAACTTGCCTGAGTCTTGTCAGAGTGCCTTCCAAAAAAAGGTCCGATCACCACCACAGTGGCTTCTGAGGGGACCTGCTGAACCAGTTCAATTCAAGGGAGAGAGGTCAGCTTAGAAGGTTCTGGTGAATGTTTTGTTGGAGACTCCAGAGGGGTAATAAGAAAAAGTTATTTTCCCACCGATGAGAAAAGATCCGGAAAATTGCACTCAGGAATTATTTTTCCACCATGACAATGTATCTGCTCATTCTTCATGGATAATGAGGACTGTCCTGCCAGAATTTTGTTGAAACCCTTACCCTATTGTAAAAACGTATGGGGCAGTGTCTGACCTCCTCTATCTTGACCAGAGGGAAGGAGGAGAATCAAATTTAACATCAGCCCATGGCCAACTCTTAGGAGGCTGAGATCAGACAAGCTTCTTTCCTCCACTTATCTTTATTCTGGTATCAACTATCCCTCACATAGCCCTCCTTACTTCTCAGCTGGATTGAATAATGCATTGTTAGTAATGGCCACACAGAACTCACAAACCATACGCAGGTTAGGGGCTTATTTAGGGAAGTCAATAGATTACAAATGAGGATTAGAAATGCTCGACAGTTCTCCAGACAGGGCAGTTGACTTTGCAGCCACCAGGTCCCTTGACCTCTGCCCTGCTCAAGCAATGTTACAAATCTCTCTTAGAGATGCCAATACATGCCCAAAGGGCATGCCACTCAACCATTAATCTCAACCAAAGGTGCTCACCTCTATCTTGGTGGATCAGCACACCTACCTCCCCCAATTAAGTGTTAAAGACGCCCCGCTCCACAGGCAGGACTCTTTGAGAAGAAACTCAGTTTTACTTTCTGTGTGGGCAGGGAAGCCCACTGCTCTCCTGTGCTCTGGCACATCTGCCATTTCTCTGGTCTTACAGCTTTGTGTCTTGGATTGAGGAGGCTCAATGCACCAAGATCTCGAGGTTATAAAGATGTGTTCCACTCCTGGCTGGGCTTTCTTGACGGTAGTGAGATTCTTCCCTCAAACTTCTGAGATGGCTCATTTTATACTAGGGATGGCAAAACTGACCAATCCCCACGATAGTTTCAAGTTTTTCATTCCAATCACAACTCTGTTAACCACCACTCCATAGGAATCATGCCATTGTGGCTGCATCTTCTCTCATCTTCCCTTACGAAGACTCATCAGGAAAAGTCGTTTGGTGGATCTACAGAGTCTGTGGCTAGCAGAGCCATATTAAAGAGTTCTCTGCACTGCACTCATACAACTGCAGACTTTGTCTCAAAAGAGCATAATTTGAGTCCCTTATGGACGCCAAAATTGCCATTTTGATATGGTATTAAATCCAAGAGCGCAGAATTCTTAAGGGAAGGGTCCGAAAGATGGGAACACCACCTTTAGAAGTGTACAGACTTAAATAGAGGGTGTGCTGAGAATTCGATAGCTTGAAAGTTTTCTTTACTAAAGGTATCTATGATTTGGGAACGATATTTTTTGACTTACCCTCATATATTAAGAAAGACGAAGAAAAAAATAAGAGATGCTCAAGGATGTTAAATGCCTGAAATGACCCACAGAAAAGAAGGCCTCAGAGAAAGAGACTCACTTTCCTCTCAATTACACGGCTTTCATTCACTGCAAATAGTTCTCTCTGACTTTATGGCCTTATCTGCTCATGCAAATTAAAACTGGGCTCAAATTCACACAACACGGCAAGGCCTTCAAGATCAATCATTCCTTCCTTTGGGAAGAAACAAGGAAATGGACCATCATTTCAACTAACCGGGCTTGCCTGGGCTTAGTGGACAATACCTGGTCCCTAATTACAAGCAAACCAAACACATGGGATATAGTTCTCAAAAAAAAAGAGAAGATTACCTGAGATCCACATGTTTAATGTGAGGCATTCTTCTTAATGCCTGTAGCCTCAGGGCCTCTATGCAGTTTCCAGACATGCAGAGCTTGTCCACGGCAGTCAGTTTCTCCAACACCTCTGGAATGTCAGTGAATTCATTGAAAGAAAGGCTGAGATAACTCAACTGGTGCATGTTCTCCAACTCTGCAGGGAGCGACTGGAGGAAATTTCCATCCAGCAAAAATGTCTGCAAACTAGTCAAAGAAAACATAGGGATTACAAAGCAAAATATGTGAAATCCACACCCCTACTCATCAACATCACTCACTGACTGCCGCTAGGTCGATGTGACTCATAGTGACCCTGTAGGACAGAGTAGAACTGCCCTGTGGGTTTTTGAAACTCTAAGTCCTTATAGGAGTAGAAAGCAACATAAGAAAAAACAAAATCACGAACCACAGAGAATGTATTTGCTCCTCAAAAAATGCATAAGGTCAGAGCCTGGGGCAGTCTTGGTCCAGAAAGACAAACTCAGAGATAAGGATCTTAATCTCTTCCTGAAAACCACCCTTATGGCCAACTTTCCCAATTTAGGCTTAAATGAGAACAACACGAACCCTCTGCAATGGGAACATGGTCCTCCCATCCTTCCTGGTTATTTTTTTTCCTGGTTATTTTATTTTAAAAAATGAATTTCTAACGTCCCAGAGTTTAACACAACCCAGAAAGTGAGAGAGCAGCCCCTGCCCTCTTCTACACATTTAGGCTAACTCACCCACAGGGACACTCAGTGCTAAACTGGGCTCTTTCACTTTCTTACAGGATTCCAGAGAGTGCAGAAAAGTCACACCAGACAGTACTGTCTCCTGATGTGAGCAAAGTGGCATCAAGGAGAACCCTACTAAGCACTGGAGCCGGCATGCAGGGCTCCTAAGCCAGCGGTCCCGGTACCTAGTGCAGAGCGCAGTAAAGTACGCACTTGTGCATGACACCGACGGCGGCGGGAACTGCTCTCAGGTCGTTGCAGGACACATTCAGCTCTGTCAGGGTTGGAATACTGCACACGGCTAACGGGAAGTCTCCTAAGTGATTATTGGAAAGGTTTAGACTCTTCAACTTGGTGAACCTACGACAATGAAACAACACAAAAGGAAAGAAGACAAATGTCAAGGCTGCATGCAGCATTATACAACTTCATACAACATCATACAACTTCTCCCAGCCTGAGAGAGGACACCCTCGACTCCGAGAGTAATGAGGCAGTACAGCACCCTTGGGAGCTAAGTGACTCTCCAGCAGCATTTTATCTACAGCATAACCATTGGACTTCAAAGGCAATGTGTCCGTTTGAAAAAGGTTGACTGTTGGGGGGGGGGGGGCAGCTCTGTTTGGGTGTACTTAACTCATATGTAAAGGAAACTGGGGAGTTAGAAATGAGAGCACCCCAGGGCTCCTTGGTCCCAGACAAGCCCAGACTTTTCTGCTTCACATCTCTCATATATGAGGTGCTCTGGGGACACACTGGTTAGCATTTGCCTGCTAACTGAAGAGTCAGCTGTTCAAAGCCACTAGCAGATCCATGGGGGGTGGAGGTGGGGGGTGGGGGGAGAACACGGCAATCTGCTTCCAGGAAGATTCACACACAACCAATCCCTAAAACCAAGCCCCCTGCTGTGGAATCCATTCCTGCTCAGCTCCCCTACAGGGTTTCTGAGACTGAATCCTTATGGAAACAGGTTACCTCACCTTCCTCCCAGGGTGCAGCTGGTGATCATGACCCACAGACCCTGCCATTAGCAGTCCAGTCCTTATCCTGCAGGCAAGGGTAAACTATGGAGCAGTTCTACTCTGTCCTATAAAGTCACCATGACTTGGAATTGGCAGGATGGCAGTGAGTGTTCTCAAATCCAACCCTGGATTAATAACTTCACAGAACTGCTCTACGGTGCCTAGTCCTTCTAAGTTTCCATTTGGGGCTGCATTTTCATTACTTGATTCCGAGACATCAATACTGCTGACCACACTCAAGAAGAGTCTTTCTACCTCCCTTTAACCATTGCCTTCATCAGGCCCCCCCTCACTCTCTCTAGACCCCTTTACCTGTGTTTCCATTTTTCTTCCTCACCTCCACTTGCTACCCCCAATTTAGGCGTGGGAGGTCCCTGGATTTGAAGCAAGATGCGTCCTAAGTGTAACATCAAGTGCAATCTGTAGATGAGTCAGAGCAGGGGCATGAAGTTCTTAGTTTTACTTTAGTGCGGTGGATCTCAACCTTCCTCATGCTGTGACTGTGACCCTTTAATACAGTTCCTCATGTTGTGGTGACCCCCCAGCCACAAAATTATTTTCATTACTACTTCATAACTGTAATGTTGCTACTGTTATGAATTGGGTGAGCCCTGTGAAAGGGTCGTTCAACCTCCAAAGGGGGCATGACCCACAGGTTGAGAACTGCTGCTTTAGTGCAAGAAAGGAATCCTGGTGGCAAAGAGGGTTTTTAACCTCTAGGTTGGGAGTTCAGCCCTCCCGCAGCTGCTCTGGAGAGAAATGAGGCTGTGCGGGTTACTGCTTTCGACACAGTAAGGAGGCTCTGCTCTGTCACATAGGGGTGCTAAAGGCCAGAACTCCCTGAGGGAGGGTTGGGGTGAGTGCAAGAAAAAGCTCAAAGCTTTTCTAAGGATTTACAAACTGCTGTGCAGCAAGTGAAGGTGATTGTGAGGAAGAATTTGTTGTCGATAGAGTTGGTTGGTCCTTGGTGAGGGCAGATTCACATCAAATTAAGGGCAAGCAGGTGTTGTCTTTAAGCCAGAAGCTTGTAACCATTTTATAATTAGTCTGCTTTATGCTCTGGAGTTGGACACATTCAAAACCAGACTATATTGCTCCCGGGTCTTCCTTCTCTACGTGGTTCTGCTGCAGTCTTTTTACCACTCTGTGGGCAGCTTTCTCAATCCCACCCTAAGTCTCCCACCCCAGATCCCAACAGGACTAACCTTCCTCCAAACCAGCACGCCCCTGCCGTTCTATTTTTGTTGATCTTCCTCTTCTCAGTTACCCCAACAATTAAAGACAAGATTGGTAATATTTACTTCTGTTCCATGCTCTATTTGGCCCACTGCAGGCGTCTGCACTGTTTCTACTTGTGATGAGAATCTTTGGTTGTCTCAGGCTAATTCTTTCAAAAGCAGCACAACTCTGAGTAGACAATAGAGACACACATGCACAACGAAATCCAAGGCCATTCCTTGGAGCTGTGGGCTTTGCCCTTTATTCCACCCAGCAACCAGGCATTATATCTACTGCACAGGGTGAAAATGTGGATTAGTATAATGGAGCTCATAGTTGTTGGCTGAGTATAAACTGAGTAGTGCTTTCAATTAAATATAAACTCAGGAAAGATTTCTTGTTAAACCTGAAAAACATATTGTAATCAGTCTACTCTCCATTTATCACTGGACTCATTAAAACCAAATCCAAACCCACTGCTGCTGAGCTGGTTAACATGCTCGACCGATAAACCACCAGCTACACCCAGGGAGCAAAGTGTGGCAGAGTCTGGTTTCATAGAAATCACAGCCGTCTGTGGAAACCCGGTCCCCCAGGGTCACTGGGTGGGACTCGGTTCAATGGCAATGAGGCAGACATTCTGGAATATGCTATGAGACTTTTTGGAAGGTGGAAACTAGAAGCATAGGCTTTTGAAAAGTGTAGGTCAACAACAACAAGAACAAATTAGGGGGAGGGTTCCTCTGTGCAAACCTATTTTCCAGAACAGCAGCACTTGAGAATGAAGAAAAGCAGTACTGAGTGAAATGAGTAAAATTACAACTGACAAGCTTAAATGGAAGAGGGGGGGAAAGCTCTCAACAACTTCTCCCCCTATTACTTTTGTGTTGGGGGTTTTGTTTTCTGTATTTGGGATTCTCAAACGGCCGCTAGAGAATGTGGTGCATTGAATTTCTCCATCAGTAGTTAACAACAACAACAACAACAAAATGGCCCTCAGGCATAGGAACCCGCCCTTCCCACACAGCTGGGCTCAGCCACTGGAGGTGGGTGACTCCTGGAGCCTGGCAGCTAGCTGACAGCAGCATAAAGTACAAATCCATTTCAAAGGAATGTAGTATCATTGCACTAATATTTTTAAAGATAATAATCTTTGTATATTGAGCAAGCTCACTATTATCCAAGAAAAAGATCAGAAACCCCTGTGCTTGATATAAAATGTAGGGTTCTTAGCTCTGCCGTATTAATGGGTAAATTAGCATGTGTCTAAAGATCCAGCTGAAAACACAAAACTAGCTTATTAATAACCTGCAATATGCAGATAACACAACCTTGCTTGCTAAATGTAAGGATGGCTTGAAGCACCTGCTGATGAAAGTCAAGGGCTACAGTAAGGACTGCAACTCAATGTAAAGAAAACCAAGTTCTCAAAACTGGACCAACAGACAACATCACGGTGAGCAGAGAAGACACTGAAGTTGTCAAGGATTTCATTTTAGTTGGATCCGCAATCAAGGCTCATCTAAGTACCAGTCAAGAAATCAAATGATGTGCTGCCTCAGTCAAATCTACCACACAAGACTTCTTTAAAGTGTTAAAGAGCAAAGAGGTTAGTTTTAGTTTTAAGGTGCACCTGGCCCACGCCATGGTATTTTCAATGGCCTCATATGGACTTGAAAGCTGAATCATGAATGAGGAAGACCATGGAAGAGTGGAAGGGTTTGTAATACAGTGCTGGCCAAGACTATGGAGAGTACCTTGGGGCTGCCCAAAGAACAAACAAATCTGTCTTGGAAGTACAGCCATAATGCTCCTTAGAAACAAAGATGGTGAGACTCTCTCTTACACATTTTAAGGGGGACCATTCCCTGGAAAAGGACATCACGTTTGATAAAGTAGAGGATTAATGAGAAAGAGGAGGCGCTCAAGGAGATGGATGGATTGACACAGAGGCTACAACAATGGGCTCAAACAATACAACTGTGAGGCTAGCACAGGGCCATGCAGAAGTATTTCACTCCGTTACACAGAGGGTTTCTATGAGTGGGATCTGACTTGATAGCACCTAGTAGTAACAAGACCATGGTCAGTCAGTGTAACTACAAAAGCTACAAGAAGAAAGCCTTGTGGGATATTTGATCACAATTTGTTAACCACCTATGCACACACACAATACCAAATTTAGTGAGTGTTACTTGAGGTGACCACCCTTCCTTACTTCCCAGGGTTAGAAGAGGCCTTTGAAGTAATTTCTCCAGCTGATAGCAGATGTGACTATTGCACACAACAAAGGATCTAGCACCATTCATCATCATTACTATTCATCTCTCCTCCTCCAGTCCCATCTTCCAAGTATTTAAAACAAATGGATTATCTATACCAATAGTGATTACCTGGGGTAGCTGAAAGAATTTTAAGCCACAGGTTTTGGTTTAGTTTTGGTTTGGTTTTGAAGACCTCACAGTAGTGCACGGCAAGCGCTTGCCTCTTCGTCCTGATCGTCCCCCTCCAGGGTGGCATCGACAATGAATTTTCACTGTGATGTTGCTGTTGTTGTTGGGAGCCATTGAGTCGGTTAGGGCTCACAGTGACCCTACGGACAACAGAACGAAAGGCTGCTCATTCTCACATCGATGCAGCCATTGTGTCAATCCATCTTGTCAAAGGTCTTGCTCCTTTTTGCTGACCCTCCCTCTATTTTACAAAGCAGGGTGTCTTTCTGGCTCCTCCGGATAACATGTCCAGTACATAAGGCAAGTCTCACCATCCTCCCCTTCTAAGAAGTATTATAGCTGTACTTCATCTAAGACAGAGCTGTGCATTTTTCTGATAGTCCATGGTATGTATATTTAATAGTCTTCACAAACATCATAGTTCAAAGGCACCAAATTCTACTTCATTCTTCCTTATTCTTTATCTAGCTTTTTCATGCAGATGAATCAATTGACAATGCCACGATCTGGGTCAGGTGCTTAGTCCTCAAAAATAACATCTTCATTTCCTCCCCCTAAACAATTTAACAAGGTCTTTTGCAGCAGAGAGGCCATTCACTTTCCTGATTTGAGCTTCCATGTGGATTGATCGAAGATTCAAATAAAGTCCTTGGCTGCTTCAGTATTT